TGCTTTGCTCAGAAACGTGAGGATACTATGATTTCGACTAGACTGGGAGAGTGTCGCATAAACTTCCATCCATTGCAACCTGTTTGAAGTATGCAGTCACGATTTGATGTTGTCTAACGAAGCATCATCTTCCTTTCCTTTTCTCTCTTTCTCAAGAACACGTTTTCATATAGCCATGAGCTCTCGCAAGAAGAGAAAGTTACCTTCAGAGGCCTTAGAAAATGTACCTATTTCAGATATATTTGAAGAAAGCTCTTCTTCTCCTTCTTTTGCTGTTTCCTGTAAGTATCAGCTATGTAGGCAACGGAAGGTATTTCCCGATTAAGAGTCATGATATATTTCTCCTAATGCTATCATATATTTAGGTTCCTGCGAGGGTTATAATGGTCGACGAGTATCTCACGTCGCAAATCTGTCCTGTCTGTAGCAAAAGAGAGTTGAAAAAGCAGCAAGAACGGCCCGGAAGCCATGAAAAAGCAGGTGCAGCTTTACATGCGGTACTAAGATGTAACAGTTGCGCTATACTTTGGACCCGTGACGTTCTTGGTGCGAAGAATATTTTGGCCGTTTACAAGTATATGGTGACGAACAATAATGAGCGTCCTTCCCCTTTCAAACGGCCAGCCAAGTCAAAAACAAGTCCGGAAATACAAGAGCTGGACCTTCCATAACTGGGAAACTGGTTAGAGCATATATCAAAAGATATAACAGAAGATATAAGCCGTACATTTATCCATCTGTATACCTTACCAAATGTGAGTATTGATATTAAACATATCGTTTGCTGATTGTTTGTCATGCTGCATTTTAACCCGACAGTCAAAGACCGCGGTTTCAAGCAAGCAAGACAATTCTTCTTGAATAGCAGGTACTGTTCTTTGGTACCGTTAAGCTCCGAAAAGTATACAACATAAAAGTGATAATAAATTGCAGAATTGTCCTCCTCTACCAGAAAAGCATGTTTGGGTCAATGCTATTCAGTAGCTTCAATTATAGAAGTTCAAGTAGCTTTATATCTTGAAGGAACATAAAACGCATCTTTTAGTTAAACACTGGCGTCGGTTATCTGAGCAGTTGGACTTGGCACAAAACAAGAGAAATAAACACTGCATTTTGATTGGTTGTCGTAACACAAACTGTTCCACCAATCACGGTCAAGAGCTCAAGATGGTTAATCTTCGGCCCTCTTCCAAAAATGTCATAAACTACAAGAAGTATTCTCGGTTATCGACCTTGACGTAATGCTCTCAATTGGTTTCCTTTTGCATCCCATTGCCGACAAGGATTACATAATGTAGCTAGAATCAAAAGATATAAATAGTAGACAGACCAAACAGAATAAACATCATCTTTTTATCTATCGTTTATTTTATTCATTGGACTCGTCGATCATCCTTGAAGATCTTGTGCGGACTATTTCAGATCGGGATTGATACGACATTGTCGTCGCCGTAGTCTGAGCTGGAAATCCAATGGCCAGAAGAGGGTAGAACAGTAGTAGAAGACAATAAAATAAGATAGACGGATGATACTCTTTATTCTTCGTAATGTGTCCAATATTTATATCTTTTAGTTCTAGTTAAATTATGTAATCTGTTGCGGCTATAAAATAGAAAAGGAAATGGGCTGAGAGTGTTATGTTAAGATCGATGTTAAAGAAGACTTCTTGTAACTCGTATCATTTTGGGACGATGCCCGAGCAAAAGAGAAGATTGCCATGTTTGGTTCTTGGCCGTGATTGGTTGGACGATTTGTGCTACGACAACATCGTCAAAAAAGTTGATATTTTTTGCCAAAAATGTTCCAAGTGTGGGGTTTGAACCCACGCCCTCTTAACGAGGATCTGATCTTAAGTCAGACTCCTTAGACCACTCGGACAACTTGGAATTAGTTGACGTGACAGGTTATCTATACCTTATTAGTAGCATTATTGCTAAGCAAAAATACGGAGCTTACAAGATTGTTAAGAAAAGCTTAGAAAAAGAATGAATATAAAGTTTATGAAAGTTTATATAGGCATTCCAAAACTCTTCTCGGGAACGAAAGCCCTTTTAGACTGACCTTTATCGTGAGAAAGAATATGGTTCTGCAAAAGAATTAAAAATAATCAGTTCGATTTTTTTAAAGCTCAATAAGAACCGAAATCAAATTCTTTAAAGAGAAACTGAAGAATTAAAGCTATTTTGCACTTGAACTAGCTAGCGAAATTGTAAATTAGAACTAGTTGATACGAAACAAGAGGATGACCAACATTATAAAAGCATTAGCTAGTTTATAAGGTATGGGTTTAGTCGATTACTCTTGTATGGAAATAAGAGACATGATTGCTGAAAAGCAAACATTCAGATGGTGTTGACGTTGTTCGAACAGCTACCTGATTTATGAACACCTCTATAGAAATCGAACAATGACAAAATGCTGTCCATTTTACCATCAGAATGAATCAGTAAGCGCAGAACAAAGTTCATCTCAGTTAATTACAAATGAGTGATAACGTCAAGCTAATTTCACTTTTCAAACCTATGATGACCACACTCTCTACAGAAAACACACTATTTTTACCATAACTATCCCACATAAGGTTTTATATTGCTTTATTTCCAATAGAACAGTTCTCTATAGTCTCTTTTACTCTCTTTTTTAGTTTGATCGAGTTCGCTTCAATTCCTCGCTTTCTTTTCCAATTTTAGTTCGATTCGGTTCGGTTCTAGCAAAGAACTGAGAAGAACCCAACCGTTGCCACAGCGTGATTTTAAATAAGGCTTTGCCAGTAGAATAACAATTCGCCGCTGTTTGACGTTGAAAATAAGTGAGCATCAGATGTGGACGAATGGTGCTAGAGAGCGACTTGCAGGTTTTTTCCTCGTCTCACATGGCGCAAGCTGTGCAGCAATCGGAATCGGAAACACGATGATTGTTTGCGCTGCCTTCTGGATAACATTGCAGTTTGGCTGACCTTTACACAATTCTCTATAACGCCTTTTGCCATACTCTGGACATACAGTCTTTTCCTCGTCGCTCATATACAACATACAAGCTCTCATATAAACGTTGTACATCTTTCGTTAAAACTGTGTAACACACTTCACTCTTACATATTGACACAGCTTAAGCGATTACTGTGTACAAGAAGTCAATCTTTCAGGAAGATACTGCTCTTCATCAACAATATATTTAATAGACTCGGGCGTGCCATATTCGTCACAGCAGTCCCCTTTCATATTCGTACAAAAATGGAATGCTTATCATGACAAAGGTTCTGGTGTAATTATGGTCGAAGAAGAAAAACAGAAGAAAATCATCCAAAAAATGGGACATTTGATTCATGAACTTACTGACGTCTACTTGTAGCAAGTCGGAACATTCACTCTTGGAGGCCAGTGCGACATCAATTCACACCCAGTGCAATTTTACTTTGCGGAAAAACCATATAATAAACGTTACGCATCCTTCAGAAATTCATACTATCGCATTCTCCAAGCATCCATTGGCGAGAGAAGGCGATTGCTACCTGGCTGACTAAGTTCGGCTGCTATCTTTGTAACAGCGGCTGTAACATTGCCATTCTGGGTCAATGCCTTTGCTGATATAAAAGAATTGCGGCGTCGTTGAAGAGCCTCTGCTTCTTCTGCGGGCGATTGCTCATGGAACTGTGGTTTAAATAATTGATCTGGATCAATGCAAGCACTTAAGGCGCGACGCAGGCGACGGTTAAGATAGGATAGGCCAATTTGGAAGGATGCATTCATCCACCCAAAACCTTCTCGAGGAACATATTTAAAATCGGTTCCCACGTTTCCATACTCCACTTCAACCTTGTGAGAGAGGCTGACAACATCAAACTTTTCCGGCACAACGCCATTAAAGTCAACAACGCTCTTGGTAATTCTTTGTAATCCTATGTGAGTAAACTCCAATGAGTACATTTACTTACGTATAGAGCCAACGGTATGCAAGGCGTTGGGCAATATCCTGCATATCATAGTTTCGGAAGCCAGCCCATGCCATAATCTGATGTGGAGCCCAGCCAAAAGGGAAATCCCACTGGCGGTTTGGCCGTTCGATCGATATCTTACCACGAGATTCTTCTGTTCCTGAAACGAGCCCGCCTGTTACCTCGAATTTGTTTAAGGAACGCTTAACCATATGTTCTGCTTGATCGTAGCTGGCGCAGCCGGCCCACATCGCCCAAAAGGCAGTGACGCTTTCATAGGCTATCTGGCGCTCTTTCACGGTATCATAATCATAGTACAGGCCCTCCTTTTCATTCCACAGATATTTGTCAATGCGGGTCTTTCGCTGTTTGGCCCGCTCCGCCCACATTGTAGATGTCTGCACTTTTCCTGCATCATCCAAAAGTTCATCTTCTAGGTAATCATTAATACAGTCTGCTATATCCATTTCGTATTTGTACAATAAAGCGTTCAGATCAATAGTAGCTAGGTTTGCACAGACTCTATCAAACCTGTATGTTGTATCATGCCCAGATTCTCGTACGGCACGATCATGCAGCAAGTATTCGTCCAGTGCTGGTTCACTGATTTCTTGGTTATTATACGAATCCACAAAAGCAGGGATAGACTGTTGACGATTCTTTGCAAACGGTGCAAGGATATGATCGAAGTGCGAGGTCTCTGTTTCCGGTGGTATGCCCAGACCATCAGGGCGATAGCGAGAAAGCATCGTTTTCATATCCAGTCGCGGTTCCGCCATCCACACGGTGTGATATTCCTTTATGGCTGCTTGAATCACTCTTCTTAACCATTCTTTATTTTCCTTTTTGTAGGTTGCATCAAGTCTTTCGTAAATTTTCATTGCCATATCGGTTAAGAAGGGTGGCTGTGACCGCATCAAGTAGTAAGAGCGGTTGGCATTCAGAATTTTCCCATAGTGTCTGATTTGGTACACCAAGTTGTCAACCATACTTTTAGCAAGATCTACCCGATTGTCTTGAAGTAGACCAAGTACTGCAAAATAGGAATCCCACTATATATGCGCCTGTTACCTCTAAAACGTACGTGCTGACCATATTACTTACTCCGTACATCTCATTAAACCTTCCACCAGGTACTATAAAAGGAACTCCATATAATGTAGAACCATGATCAGAAGGACGACGATACATCGCCAGAGACAAGATCCCCGGGCGACTATTTATGCTCTTGACGTACTGGGCAGTGATATCTTTCGGTAAGCGTTCAATCTCCAAATTCAGATGCTTCTTCGATTTGGCCAAGTTTTCATAATATTCAAATGCTTCCATATCGTCAAAAGGCACATATATCCTTGACATTCCATCCGCCGTTCGGGTTTTTGGATCGGCACAGATAAGCTCCAAGCCATCAGCGTCAATGGTACGAACAAGCCTATCCCAAAAGTCACCAGAAATGCGCCTTGAAAGCCTGTCAACCGGATTCTCCGTAAGCCGATCCTCATCAACCACAATATACTTCCTTCCATAGTCGTTGGCAAGTGCAAGTTCCTGCAATAGGTTGGACAGCATATAGGTTCCTCTGATCTGATACTTGAGATAGCCACCACTGTCTGCTGTTCCAACAGAGAGCATCTTCGGGCCTAGATCATTCACTGTAATCTGGAAATCGCCATCTGTATCCTCTTGTTCAAGAATAAGGCGTTGTGTTTCGGGCACGTTTATCAGAAACCTACGTGCCTTGCTCCTGTCATCTTGATGGAAAAAGTTTGAGCGGCTTCGGAACTTTATACGTAACTAGTATTATACCATGTGAACCCCTTCGCTGAAGAGCCACTGCCAATTCAGTTTTAGATGGAATTTGTCCTCTCTGAAGAAAATCATTGAAAAGTCATTAAAACCCATCCAAATATGCAAGGAAAAGTACTTGCAGTAAATGTCTTGCGTCTAAGGGAGCCTGTATTAAATCCAGTAGTGTAGTACGTAGAAGCGGGTGCATGTGCGTCCATGTCGTTTATGGTGTTAGAATTAAGCATGTTAAGGAACCTCTCTGTTAAAGAGTAATGGGTACAACTAAGCGAGAAAAGACGCAACCAAAAAGATAAAGAATATGAAACAGACAGATGGTGTCATGGCAAGTTTGGTAACCACGTTCAAGTCACAGGTCCGAAGGACTAAGACTTACCCAATGATTCGGAATTACTACTACTGCGTCCTCATGCAGGCATGAACTTTGTTCTTTTGATCCCTGGAGGAGTTCAAAACTAACTCCGATGTTGGGTACTACCACGAAAAAGCAAACGCGCATGGCGCATGAACCACATAACTTTTTCTCCATCCAATATATACTACTGCCCTTCTCGCTAGATTTCAAGTTACGTCATGGCTGTTATTCTCAATATATATTTCCATGCTTTGCTTTTAATCAATGATTAGGTGATTTAACTATACATATGAACATTTAGAAGTCTTTGAAATGGATAAACTCCATTGATACCGACCAGCAAAAAGGAACAAGCACGCTTTTAAAAGCATCAGTCCGGTATCAGTTTTGCTGGATCAGTCTTTATATGCTAACCCCATACTTGACAAATAATCTGTTTCCAAAGTAACAGTAACAATGGGGGACCTATTTTTTTTTGTCCGTCTCAGTTTCTTGGAAAATGGCAACTATGGAGAAACACCAAAAAAGGAAAGATATCCAAAATGAACCTTATCCACGTTCGTTTGTGCTTGTGAGATTCTCATCGTTTATTCCCCACCCCTCTTCGATTCATTGTGCTTTCTAGGGCGGAGCTTACTGAATCGTGTCAGCGTGAAACAAGCAAATATGGTTAACACCGACTATAAAAAGGTTATCGTTCGGCTTCCCTTCCTTTTCATCATCCTTTTCTCTCTCCTTTGACAATAAACGTAGCAGATATGGCTCCATCAATTAACCCAACCACCGCTAAT